CTGCACATTCAGATGAAGGGTAAACATGTTCTCTATAATTGTATTAATATTTCTCTAGGTTAGCTGTATAGGCCGAATGTAACCTACCATAGCTACTACATCTGTCAGGTAAAGAAGTTGGGATTAAAAAATACAGCTGATTTTTGGTAAGTATCTTCATAGCCTTGTGTGAAACTACTGCTCCTCCAAGGACCAGATGGAGAATTATAATTCTGGCTTTTCTTTGTTTTTTTTTTTCTTTTTTATCTTTTTCTATCTGAATCACAGGTATCAAATTCTGGCTTTTCTTTTAGAACAAGGTCAATGCCAAAGTCTAAGAAGCCTACAGGGCAGAAGAAAATGACTTTATGAACTGAACTGGCAGTTTGGTAGAAAGATGAAAACTGCACAAATCAGAAAGAGATAGCACAGAAGGGGAAAACACAGAGCTTAAAGGAGAAATGTTGTAGGAATTTTTGTCCTGAGAAAGCACTGTGAGAGTTCAGAGCTCATTTCCAAAAGAGGTCATAGTAACATGAATTCTTAATCTGAGATGTGTGGTTTCTTAGCAGCATCTCAGGCAAAGACATGTGTATGTATTAGTTCCAACATTTCCAGAAATATAAGAGTGGACAAGGCCTCAGGGATAGGAGGATGAGGGAACCAGGCAGATCCAGCAGAAGTGTTCCGATTAATATAGTATTTCTTGGCAGAAGAGTTTGATATTTTCCATGTTTGATGAAGTTATTCTTGACTATCCAACCATAAAAGGCAGCTTCCTGGAGAGCCTTCATGAGAGAATTCAAGAACCCTTAGGACTATAGAGATAATAGAGGTACAGCAGAGATGTGAAGGGGTCAGGTGTGAGATATAAAGAGTGGTAAGAACTATGGGGAACTGGAAAGCTTATGTCAATCTAGAGGTGGCAGCCTCTTTTCCAGTCCAACAGATTGTTGTCCTGAGGGAATGTGTGGGTCTAGTATTTGCAGATTTTCTAATTTTTTTCAAAAAAGAAATCTAAATCTGATGTGAAAGTTTTTATTTTGTATTTTTGTTGTACAGTGCCTTCTGCTAAGACCCCATACTGTGAATTTGCCATTTATGTATGCATCCTCATTCTCTTTGGGTAACTGCTCAGTCTACATTGTTTTTATAGAATCTTGGTTGAAGAATAAAGCAAGCAATTTTAAACTCATCCCATTAAAAGAGGAAAAGTTTCTTCCACCATATGCTGTCATTCACCTTCTCATTGCCCTTGCATGAAATGTGTTTCCTAAATCTGGCTAACTGTATGTTGTCTCCTAAGATTTTGCCTCTCAAGGAATGTAAGGACAAAAAAAGGATATTCATTTCTTCCAGCAGTAAAGGTCAGGTGAAACTGCCAAGTGATTTCTTTTGTAAATACTCTTGGTAACTGCCTGGTTGCTATTTCTTCCAAGCCTGGTTCTTCAGCCTTATTTTCTAACCATTCCCTTTAAAAAATGTTCCATTTGCTTAAATTTACCAGTTCCTCAGAGTTTCCTTCAGTTACTTACAACAAAAGAGCCAGACCCACTAACTCCCAGTGTAATCACCAGAACAACAAAGAAAAGGAGGACGCTGCACCATGAATTCTATTGACCCATTGGTGGGCATGTTTTTCTTTTTAACCATGATCTGTAGCACCTTCCCAAAGGATAATGCCGTGAAATTTCTGCCTTGTATTTTCAGCAGGGATGATCTTCCTAAACATAGTCAAAGTGGTCTCAGGCTGGACACGGTAGCATTATAATCCCAGCACTTTGGGAAACCAAGGTGGGAGGACTGTTTGAGGTCAGGAGACAGAGACCAGCCTTGGTGAACTGGCAAGACACTGTCTCTACAAAAAATAAAAATAAAAAATAAATTTTAAAGAAAACCCGCCTGTACTGAAGCACTTCACATAGAATAGCCTTCCTAGCCAGGGTTTGTAAAATTAAGCAAAAAAGGAGATGCAGGGAGATCAGGATGGTAACATGGGGCAGGAAGAGATCTCACATCCTGCTCATTTCTGCTGTTCCCTCATCATGGGTCCCTGTGATCTTTGTATGACTCAGCGTCAACTAGTCAGTGAGCCTCATGGTGAGTATGCACAACAAAGTTTAAAATCATGGCTTTTCAGAAAGATTCACTTGAGTTCAACTTCTGGGTCTGCTACTTACTAGCTTTGAATGGGAAGGTGGTTATTTCATGTCTGAAACCGTTTTTCTCAACTGTAGAGGAAGCAAATAATCCCCAGCTCACAGAGCTTTGCTGAGAACTAGATGACATGATGCCCATAAAGAGCTTAGCACATAGTCCAGAACATGTTAAGGATTAATAGATTAATTTGCAGCGGTGTATAAGCTTCAGGATATTGACAGCTAGTAGGTACCAGGATAACAGCTGAAGATTCATGAAAATTATAGTCCCTTTTGTAAACTCAGTCTAGTAGGAGCATCCCAACATTCATTAAGTTTTGAAGGAAGAGAATATGCTAATAGAAATCATTTTTTTTGGAGCAATAGCAGAGCCTACTTGGTATTTAAGTATTAATTTTTCACAATCTACTCACAGTGTATTATTTTACATTGATCTCATAGTCATTTTTTAAATAAAACACATTAATAATTAAAATGCTATAAGTTTCTTTGATAAATTTAATTAAAAAGAATATACTAGTGTTTCTAAAATTTAGCTACATATTATTATCACTTGAAGACCTCTTAAAATTGACATCATCCCAGAAAACAAATCAAAATCTCTGGGGAGTGAAACCCAGATATTAGGATTTTTTTAAAAGCTCTCCAGATTCCAATATACATACAAAATTGAGAACTTCTATAGTAAGATGAGAAAACAAAAACATTCCCCCAAACATCACATAGGAAGTGGTAAACTTCAAAACTGAACAAGAAATAAGAGTAATTTTTTAAAACCTTCATTCAGAATTTCAGACTTTAGATGGTTCTGAAAACAATAGGAAAAGCAACAGAAAGCACTATTGTCATGTGACAGTCATGGTTTTTCTGTAAACACCTGTGCAGTACAGATTTTAATGATAAAAGACAATGCTGAAATGTCATAAAACTGTTTTACAAAACACAAATATGAGTTTGATTCAGTAACTTACAGTTCTGTCTCTACTTTAAAATCAAATCTGACGAAATAGTCCTAATAGCATCTCTTCAGCTAAATAAAGATTTCCTAACCTCCAGCATTGTGGACATGTTGGGCCAGCTAATTCTTTGTGGGGTGGGAGTGCGGGTGAGGCGAGTGTCCTGTGCACTGTAGGATGTTTAGCAACACCTCTGGCCCCTACCAATTAGATGCCAACACCACCACCACTCCTAGCTGTGACAACCAAAAATGTCTCCAAACATGACTCTGTGTCCCCTAGGGGCAAAATAGCCTGGCTGTAAACCACTGTGTTGAATGGACTACACACTTACACCCCATGCAACGTCTACCAGTGTTTGCCCTAACTGTCTCCATTTTAACACATTTCCTAGACTCAAAATAAGACATAAGGAAATAAGGACTGATTTTAACTTAAATAATGTTGGCTTTAAGAAAAATATATATATAAAGAATTTTTAAGAAAATGCTATATTGTTCTAAAGAATAAGTTTGCAGACTGCATTAAATGCTTGGCATTAAGTCTCTGTGAAAGAAATATATGGATTCAAGGGAAAAACTACTGTAGTACCTGTGTATACATGTCATATATACACATACATATGCGCATAGACACACATACACACATATGAGAAGTCATGAGCCCACACCAATACCTTTAATGCATTTCATCCTCACAGGATTCTTTTTTTTTCTTCCCCTATTCCTTATTTAAATGCCCCTTCTTTCATAGTGAGAACTCTGACTCCCAGTAATATCAATGTATTTATTCATTTGCTTAGTCCTATAATACATCTTAGTTTCCGAATTGCTTTGCCCACATAACAAAAAAAGATTTAGCCATTTTTCTCAACAACATGCCCCTAAAGATTGAAATGTATTCATAAACTACTTGGATTCAATTTTCTCTTCATTTTTCCTTCAGTTTGATTAAGATTTACTTGAAATACAATTGTGTTTGTTTTTTCTTTTAGTTTTTTTTTTCCGAAAACAGAAACGAAAACTAATATCTAATATAAAGTTGCTTTTATTATAAATAACCCTTTACAATGTAAATAAATATATTGTTATTATAAAACCACTGGTCTCTATTTGTTTAAATATGGCAAAATTAAATAACCTTTCACATTAAAAATATACTCTTTAGTTTTAAAAATAGGAAATGTCTTTCCTTCTTGCCATTAAACGTTTTTGACTGCATGAATCTGGAGGACATTTAATTGACTAAACATTCAATTAAATAAGGTCTTTTGAGGCCCCCCTCTCTCTGAATGAAAGTATTTTACACAAATTGTGGTTTTTAATCAGGACACATGGGTGTCTGACCCGGGAATGTTTGCTGACAGGCTCAGGGTCTCGTTGGCCCCACTGGTTCTCCTAATTCAGAAACTATTAATAGTGCAAAGTTAATTAAACTGGTACCATATTATAAATGCAGCTGTTGTGATTTCTGAGACAATCTGGTATGTCAGTGTGGTATATTGTATCCAATCTCAGATTTGGCATCTGACCACCTTGGATTAAATTTTTATCTCTAGATTTTTAGAAATTTTCATTTCCTACTCTGTATAATTATAATTATTGTAAATATGAGAGAAAAAGGTATATCTTTAAAATTTTCTTATTAATATGAGTATAGATCTATTATTAGACATTTACTAGTACCCTCTTCTTCCTTCTCATTATTTTCCTCATCACAGTCTTAATCTCTCTTGGCCAAGTTTCTAGGCCAAAGAATCATGCCTTTAGGCCCAACCTTGGTAAATCTATTTCCATGTATGAGTAGTTACCTCTGTTACATCTTGTAGTTTTACAACATGAACAGACCTTTCATTATCACTACAACATTTAATTTCCAGAACTCATATAATTAGGACTAAAACTCACCTAGTTTTCTCCTTGGGCCTTCCAAGCCCCATGATTGTTAATTGTAGAGACATCATTTTCCTTCAGGTCCAATTGCCATATTCTTATTTCTGCAAGATAAACGAAATTGTTAAGCCCTATTAGTTAACTGTAGAGAAAATACTTAACTTATTTTTCCTATCAGTGAGAATATGGCTGATTCCCCAGATGCTGCCTGAGATTAATATAGTACTTTCAAAACTGCTATTATTTTCTCTCCTGGCACTGACCTGAGAAACCCCACGTGGACCACCCAGTCTGCAGATACTTGGGACAACCTAGCTGGAAACATAATCCCGACGCCAGCATGTCACACACAAAGCAGGGTCAGCAAATTCCAGAATCCTCAGATGGGGCTTTACGTACAAAAGAGAAGCCCCTGGACACTATAACCTTAAAACACTGCACATACACAGCAGATCATCTCCGGCTAACTCAGAGCTTAAATAACAAACTCAGATACTGTCAGCTCCTCAGAAACATTCAGAGATTTTGCCTTCCCGATATGGATCCTTTTGACACTACTGTTTCAAACATGTTTACAGATAAGGATGAAAACAAACCCATCTTTATTCTTCTAGCATGTTGCAGGCCCTGGTCTGCTCAAGAAATGTTTATTTGTAATCAAATTGAAATGAAACAGCTTCTCTAGAAAGTCTTTTGTGTTTAAGACCCACTACGTAACTTCTACACCATTTCCTCACTTTAAGACCCTTCCTAAACCCTGTTAGATTGGAGTCCTTGATTGGCTGTTTAAAAAAATCCTACTCAGCATTCAATCCTTGGTCTCTATAGCCTTTGTGTTTTCTTTAATATAAATGTATATATCTAAGGCTGCTTGCTATGTATATATTGTGATCCTCTTGGTATGAAGACTTTTTTTTTTTTTTTTTTTTTTTTTTTGGCTCTTCATATTTGATTCCTACAGAGAGCATACCAGAAGTGCCAAGAATTAATATTCCCTAAATCTTCCCTCAACAAATAAGGGACTCATTGTTAAGGATGAACATCTCGGCTTCTTTCCTAGAGTACCTCTAAGGTATCTTCTGTAGTGTTTCCCAGATTTTGCCAATAGGATTGAGCTCCACTTTCCCTCTTTGGTAATTGGCTTCACTATGCACCCTCTTGATTTTTTCGCTTCCTTGCCTCATGTCCTTATCTCTTTCTGGAGATTCTCAGACTTGGTTTGATTTCCCAAATAAACTCTGTACTTGCATTCAAAACTTTTTCTCAGGATCTCTTTCAAGGGGAACCCAAACCAAGACAATTGTCTTTTCTTAGGCTTCTGTAAATGATGAGATAAAAAGAAGTTTGGACTTCACTGATATGTTTGGTTTTAGCTTCCGATCATTGTGACAACTGATGACATAAAGTTAAAAGTATATACTAAGAATAATTAGTAATCTTCAGACATTGGAGGGCCTAATGACAAATGTAAGAAAGGTAAATTATTCTAAACTTGAGAAGCACCCAATCCCCTTCATGAAATTGAACATATGACTTATTTTTCACCATCTGCATTGGGGAAGAATCTTAGGAAAAATGAGTAGGTGTTTGTTTTACAGCTAAATGAATAAAAAGTCTTGATAATTTTGTTTATCTTGCAGAAAGGACTCTGTATCAAGGTTAAATCCCAGTCTTCACTTTCAGAGGTAGAAAGTTGCTGCAGCTCTTTAACAGTCCTCCAGCATCATACTTTCCTTTTGACAGTACTGTTTCAAACATGTTTACAGATAAGGATTAAAACAGACCCATCTTTATTCTTTTAGCAGCTTGCAGGCCCGGTCTGGTCAAGAAATGTTTGTTAAGCATAATCAAATTGAATCAAAATGGCTTCTCTAGGAAGCTTGTAGTTAGCACTAGCTCTACTTGCCAGGGCAACTCTGGGGTCCTTAAGGTAAAATAATAGCTGGGCTTCATTTGACTAATTTTGAAGCTAATCAACAGTTAATGGATGAATAGATTTTAAATTTAAAATCAAATAGGTTTAAAATCAAAGATATAAAGGTTAATAATGCAATTGAACAGTACAGTGATTTGTAAAATAATGCAAATAGGAGTTATATATACTGTAGTTTCAAAAATCAGATTCTAAAGGTATGCAAAGATGATTTTCCCAGATCTCATTTTAGTTGAATTAGTTGGTTAATAGAGTTAATTCTGTAGTGCTGAAAGTGATTCCAATAAATGAAAATTCGGTAAAGAGTTTCACATAAATACACAATTAATGCATATTTGGAAATCATTGTTATGTATATTATTGCTTTATTTATAAAATCTAAATTAACTTGTTATAACTTATAGAAGGCATACACACACACACATGCACACACACCACATTCACCTATTTTGGAGAGAAAAATCTTGTGATATCATGTCTATATTTATTATAAATATTATTCATAATGAGGATTCAAGTTCTATAGGTCATTAGTATGTGACACGCCATGCTATTTAGAACTATAAATGTATTTTACCTAATTACATCCAAGTTATTCTTTACTCTTCCAGAAACACATTTTGTTGTTTATACCTAGGCTTTCACAGTGTTTATGCTTTAACTCCATTAATTTCTTTGGTTTATTAATTTTATCAGATAAGAGAATGCTTGATTAAATAGCTAGAATTTGTTGATCTAATACTACCACTACAACCTAACATATTTTATTTCACTTGGCATTACAAATAACACTAATGTTTATAAATACTTTCAATAACGTATGGAAATTAGGGACAGATTATTTTCCTATCAAAGCATAAGAGCTATCTATCTATATATCATCTAATTCTGCATTTTAGAATGACTCGTCATCTCAAACATTATTACTGATGTATTCAAAGACTATTTGACCTTTAAAAATAAATATAAGGGAGAGGATATTATATTTTTTTAATATAAATTGGGATCAAATTAGGGTGAATTCATATGTGTCAATACTGTAAGACTATTAAGTTAAAATATCTTCATACTGGACTTCTGTGAAGAATGGAATTATAAACTTTCTAATAAAAATTATGAATCAATGACAAATTATTATAATGGTAATGAATATAGAAATTCAAATTAACATATTTACATGTACACAGTTCATTGTTAGAAGATTAGAAAAAGGGTAGAACACATTGTGAGGACATTCAGAGCTGTGCTTTCAGCAAAGACAGACATCTAAAGACAAGTGTCCCTCCTTTATCCATTGCTCCCCCACCACCCATAGGTCTTCCTGGACCCTCACCATTATTTGTCCTAGAGAAGAGCCTTCTTCACTATACCATCTGCCTTTGGTGGCAGCACAGAAACAATCGTCTATGCATCCTCAGTCCTGGGAACCTAGGCTCTGCTCAGGCTTTCCTGGGGGCTGAAAGGTGGGTTGAAATTATTTTTCCCAGGACTTTTAAAATGCATGCTATTATAATTCTCAATGCGTACTATAACATTAGTATATCACAACATGTATGCACACTTAAGAGCATAGGAAAAAACTCACTAAAATCAATTTTGAAAAGAAACTGCAGCAATTTTAATATTTGCAAACCATAATGCACTAAAATTTACTAATAACATTGCCTTAAATTTTTTTCTTTTTAATTTTGGAATAACATACGAATCTACTTTATGCTATGCTCTTTTCTTTTCCATCCTTTGAAGTCCATTCAGTGGCACAAGAGGAAAGAAGAGAGAAGAAAGGGGAAGAAAATGTATTCCTATATATTGGAGCTTATATGACCTTATATCAGTAGTATAAAACTTTCAGCTTTTCTTCAGTAAGTATATTTGGTTCCACCTTTGACTTATGAGGTCTAAATAAACCAGAAGCGAAAGAACTATTTTGTTCTTGGTTCCTATGAGAAAGGCCTCATTATGTCAACCTTTAATGCTTTTATGTTAAAATGCTTGTTTTTGTTCCCCTATGAAGGTCCTTTTCTTAATTGTCATTTCCAAGAAATTTTAACTCCACATTTTTTATTACTTATTCAAGCAAATGCTAGTAAATAACTTATGATAATGACTGTAGCCTCCTTGAAATCCAGTTCTTTTGCAAAAGAAGGAAATACTGATTTATACTGTGTTTGATTTCTCGCCTAAAATCACAGCATAAAATGAATACGAATTAATAATAATTGTAATTAATTTTATCTTTGAGACAATGGAAGTACAGGGCAAATTTAGAAGGCTGATGTGTTCATAGACATTTTTGTCTTCCGATGCCATTTGGACTTGCCATTGGATAATTTAGCATGGATGATTTAATATAAAAAATAGTTTTATACACATTGACTGAATTTCCCATTTTCAGTATTGAAGAGCCACATCAATCTCTCCATTAGTGGAAGGGGGTTGTATTTTAAAATCAAATTTGTTTTGAGGACACTGTAAACAGAATTAAGTGTATTGTTAAGTATTCTTTCTTAATATAAGTGTAAATTGTTGACACATGGAGAGAGGAGATGCCAGACTACAGATCATTCTTGTTGGATGAAGCATGTACTGAAGTATCACTTTCTAACAATTAAGAAATTAGCACTAACAATTATGTGTCATCTTGTCTCTAGAGCTCACAGCATGATTAGCTTATGCCTAATTAAGGGCCTAAATCAGCAAAGAATGTCTGGCTTCAGCCTTAGGGGGAATTCCTGTAGGCTACTTTCTAAGCTTTCCCTATTTAAATGAGAATGTAATTCAATTTTAAATGATAATCTAAAAGGATTTCTTACTATTTCTCTTCTTCTGATTTCAAAAAATAATCTGATTTTCATCTCTTTTTTTCTTGGTGTCCTTTCAATTTTTAAAAAATAATTAAAAAAGAAGAAGAAAAAGAAAAAGAAACTCTACACAAACTTGAAAGTTTTAGTTCTCTACAAAAGAACTAGATTTTCTTTTCTATTCCAACAAACCACAATCCTTTATAATTTCAAATTCCTCTAAAAATTTTTTAAAACTGAAATCCCCAACTTAGCCCTAAGAGCCATGCTACTTCTCTCAATAAAAGAGAAATAAACATTTAGTCTGACATATTTGGAGCATTTTATTACTTATTCAATTAAAACACTTATTAAATATAGTAATAAAAAGATTGGAGACAAGACTATGAGAAAAATACATGAAATATGACACTATATTTGCACACCCACACTATTTGTGTATATATGTATATATATATGTACATATACGCATGATACGTATTTATATATATATGGCATTTGCACATATACATATGGAATTTATCATGTTTATATTCCTGCATGCATTATCTCATAATTTTATCTTTATTTTACAGCTAAGGAAACTGGAAACTGAAGCTTAAAAGTGTTTATTAACTTTCACATGGTCATACAGCTTGTAAAATGGCTGAGGCACAAAGTTAAGA